TGGGGGGAGGGGAAGGGAGGAAAAATTGGGGGGGGAAACTTCCCCCCCGGTTGGGGGGGGGCCTGTAAAAGTTGGGGGGGCCGGCCCGGCCAAAAACCTTAAGCCTTAAGTAGCTTGCAAAACGCTGCATATCAGGCTTAGAATTTCGTTAACGATATGTTTTTTTTTGCAGCAATGTTTTGCAATCGTCGTGATCCGCAACTCCATTTTCCTTCCGTCTTCAATCTGGGATGCAGGTCAGGGGAGTAATTTTTCTAATTCCGCTGCACGCACAGGAAGTTGGGAATTTGTTGTTGGAGGCTTAATAAATTGGCCAAAACCGAAGCCACCTTAGCTGATACAGAGAGAATTTAATTTCTGTCGACGCCCACTTGCCTGTGCATTCACTCATTTTATTTATATTACACGGGTTTGAAAGACACCAGTTTATAAACAAAAAAAATTGAAGAAATATACATTAAAATCATTAATAATAATAATAATAATTATATAATAATAATATAATAATAATAATAATAATAAACCGAGTGAAGTGGCTCAGTGCGTAGCGCTCTGACTTCGTAAATCGGGAGGTCCGGGGTTCGATTCCCGGGCCGGCCATTCTGACCGGGGTTTTCGTGGTTTCCCTCGGTCATAAGGCGAATGCTAGGATGGTTCAAAAAGTTCCAACGATCACCTTTCACCAATATCCTATCACCCCTAATCCATGATTGTCCTTCACCTATCATCAACTATCATCTCATAATTCACACTTTCAAGGCGTAACAACCTTGTCGTAATCCAAGGATACAGCTGAAAAGCTGATCACTGGAAAGAATTACACAACGTAATCGTGTAGCGTGGTCAGTAATGGCCTATACGCCAATAATAATAATAATAATAATAATAATAATAAATAATAATAATAATAATAATAATAGTTTCTTTTACTTGCATTGCCTGAAGATGAGGGAAAATTCGCTTCCCCAAAACGTCGAAAAAATGACAAAAAATTTAAACATTATATAATGTTCTGGGCTAATCCGGGTGACGCCACTCGTCGATGGCAGAGGTGCCCACGTTTCGACGCGACATATTGCGGTTCTCCTTCAGGGCGTAACCCGGACGAGCCCAAATCATGAATCGGACCGCGGAAGGCCTACGACATCACTATATAATGTATTCTGTGTTTATTATTCAAAATTTTGTTTGTTTGTAAAGTGGTGTGTTTCGAAGTGAACTCTGTAGCCAAACCCGTGTAGTACAATCAACAATGATGCAACAGACAATTGTGTCTTGTTTGGTGGAACCGCTCGATCATAGCAAAGGCGTTCCGCTGCGCAGGGGAAGAAGTGCCTGGTGCTGAAGAAGCGCTTCCGGCCCGAGGCGCAGCTGCCGCCGCGCGCCGCCGGCCGGCCGCGCCTGCGTCCGCGTCCGTCTCCATGAGCTCGTCGTGCTCCGTGCCAGCCTGCTCTCCATGTCGTCCGAGTCGCTGGCGTCGTCGGTGGCGCCACGTCGCCGCCGCCGCGCCGTCCGGCCGCCTGCCGCCGCCCTACCGGCCCCCGCCGCCGCCGGCGGCGTCCCGGGCGGCGGCACGCCCCCGCCGCCCACGGCCGCCCCGCGCCGCCGCAGCAGCGACCGCCTGCTGCTCCAGGAGGGCGCGGCGGCGGCGGCGGCGACCAGGGGCGGCCGCCGCCGCGGCGCTGGCCGCCGCCGGGCTACGGGCAGGTGCTGGCGGACGGCGTGAAGCGGCCCAAGACCATGGGCGCCGAGACGCCCCGGCCGCGCCGTCGGTGAGTACACCCCCCCCCCCCAACTTCGCGCTCTATAGAGTGACTTCTGACACATCATGAGCAGATCTCACAGATCGGGAGCTTCAGTACCAAAGTTATTAAAGTCGAACCGAAACTCCCCATTGGATTACTGCGACCAGTTGATGATCCGTCAGAAGTCGCTCTATCAAAATTGAAGTATGGGAGATGCAGATTAAAAGCGGCTTTACACATTCGGCGAGCAGCGAGCGTCTGCTTGTTCACGCCCGAGTAGCCGAGGTGACCGGTCAATGTTCAACTCCCTTTTATGCGTATAAAAGATGGACATGCTGCGGGTAGAGCGAGCACCTAATGTTTGACTCTACGGAAGTAGTAAGTAATCCATGCCCGCGTCCCGGGATTCGAAGAGCTGTTGCTCGCTACTCACCAAATGCGCTGTGTGTGGTGCCGCCTCTGTGCTCTGCAAAGACTTCAACATTGAATACTGAGAGGTTACGGAGTAAAGAATCTTACATTTTTGGCGTAATTTAGATTATTGGCTGTTACGAAGCACAGCTCCTCTCGTCTTCCAAGTTGATAAAAACAGGCAACAAATGGTAAAGACTGTGGTAGTCCACTCTATCATACGGCATGTGCAGCTGGTTTTATGAAAATCACTGGTACTACATTGCATTTTTCTACAAAACTGAAATGTCACATATTACTTACATCCAAAATCCTTTATTGCTCTCTAATGAGATGTTATTAATTTACCAATGTCATTTAAAAGATGAAAACTTTTGATGACAGCCGTTTTCCGATTTGTCGTAAGGATCCAGATTCTAGTCGAATTCTGGATTCCAGACGGCATTTCTGAAGTTGATGGCGGTGATATCGAAAGCTGATAATCTTTGAAATATAGATGTTGATAAAGGCGACACGTTTTACTTCTCGTTCTCTTGAATTTTCTACATCATCGCTTCTCCAGCATATGTTTTGTCTGAATTAAAATAAGTAATTTATACGATTGTGACTTTTGTGGGACGTCCTGGTAATTCCATACTTGTATCGCTGTATTATATTAGCTGTCTACTGTTGGAACCAACTGATTAATTGCATAGAATGTGTTACAGTCGCGTTGGTAAAATGAGAGACGCATACCATATTCCTCAGCGTTCGACTGCAGTTAGACTGTTGAAAGTGTTCGGCACGTGGTAATGGTAGCTTTTGATCGTTTCCACTCTGTCCTCGACCGTGATTCTTCTCGTGATGGCCAGGCAGTAGAGTTTGGCCGATTCCCAGAGTTCCAAACTGATGATGCCTTACTGTGAAGCCTAACAATGAATTTCTCCTAGTTATTTCAGTATCTGAGCAACTTTGGAGAGTTACGTGGATTCCAAAGGCTGCCCCCTGAGATTTGTGAAGGTAAAGAATTCAGGACCTTGGACCTTGGACTGGAAGTGATGTATCCAATACCAGGTTCTAGCCGCTTTAGTTCCTACAAAACCTGACAAGTTGTTGACACGCAAACTCTGAGATGTTTTTGTAAGTGTGTGTGTGTTTGTGTTTATATATATATACATACATACATACATACATACACACACACATACAATGAAACCTGATTGAAGCGGTCACAAATGATTCCAGTAATATCGATGGTTCCTTTGTATCAATGTTAAGAAGTTAGAGGATGAGTGAATTAGATTTAATTAAGCGCAAAGTAGAGAGACGATATTTTTGTGATCCACGAAAATCGTTAATATGTAGTAATATGTAGCTTAAATGTATTATTGGTTTTGATGCGAGATAATGTCAAGTGATACGATTGGGTTGAGAGATGTCGAAGAGGCGAAAGAATATGAAACAACATTACGAGACATACTGACTGAACAGTAATCTTCACTATTTTCCGCTTCTTATTCTATTGCAGTTCAAGTACGCTAGGTATGGCCGTTTAATACAGGTGAATAAAATGTGTAATGTTACTGGCCGCTTAAATGTGACCTCTCGTATGTGGGTGTGCGTGTTCAAATTCTTCATGAACACTTGGGCAAGAACAAGGTCACTGCACATAGGGTGCCTAAAATTTTATCCGCATAGCAGAAGCAAGAGCAGGTGGACTGTGCCCGATAGTTTTTGGAGCTTCTTGGAGGGAACGAAGATGCTGTTTTATTTTCGGTAGCCATGAGACTGGTGGTTTGACATTGGCCACAGACTGATGGTTGTCTATTCTGACCCCCTGTCCAAGAGAGATTCAATGAAATAGTGTAGTGTTGGGGATCCTCCACCATAAAGAAGATAAAAATGTCGGAATCAACAAATAAGATTAAGGCATCGATTTATTGGGACAGTGAAGAAATACTGTCAACTGATTTCAAAGAAAGAATTTCTTCAGTAAATGGAGAATATTATACTTATTCAAACTTCGAAAAGCCTTAAAAGAGAACGGGCGGGGTAAACTTTCAAGAGGTGTGCGGTTCTTGCACGACAATGCTCCCGTGCATAATGCTTCTCGTGTGAACGCCGGCGTCGCTAGCCGAATTCGTTAGCTACGCGAAGTCATGAAGGTTAAGCGAATTCGAGACATCGGGGATTCCTGGTTGGGTGACCGACTAGGAACCCCGGGATCTAACGCCCACGTGCTCCTGACCTAAGGCATAAAAAGCACTGACCGACAGCAACATGACGAGACTTAACAAAGAAATTAACGGGGGATTACTCCATGCCAGACGCTCAATGCACAAGAAGGGTTCAGAGAGCAGTCAATGGGAGCTGGCAACAATAGACTTTTGTCATAATGGGCACATTTGTTTTATCAATCCTTGCAAAAAAGCCATTCTTGCTATAAATGGAACTTTTCCACTTTCCAGTGTTGTGGTTTTATGAAAGTTTGTATATGGCTTTCTTTATGGAACTTTATTGCTTGTTTCCAAAACATTAAATTATTTTTCGCCGTGTCTCCAAGTAAATTCTAAGTTCATTTTTATTTTTTTCATTTTATTCTAAATGAAGACTTACAACCAAACAAATCCATAATTAGTCTTTTCATGCTTTCAAACAGAAATTAGACAGTTATGGATGCCCCGGAAATCAGTAAAGCAGAAAGCACGCTAATAGTATGTTTCACTTTTGATACCAACTCGTCGTAAAAACTTCGTACGTTTGTATTTGAAGAAGTTGAAATAATGTGAAAAAGTAAATGAGCGAACACTATTATAAAGAAAGTTACGACATTTAAATATTACTCACTTCTAGCTTAGCCTATCACATTGTGTTCATTCGAATTAACGTGTGAATTTGTCGCAACTACTACAAACGTCTCATACGCTTAGAGCTAATTCAATTGAATAAAAAGAACCTAATTTTAAGCTCCGTATAATAAGTTTACGGTTATTACGATACGTTATTTATCATTTCCGTTTTTACCTAAATAACAGTTAAGTGTCTGAAATGTATTTGCTTGGTAATCAGCGAGCAATTTGTAATAACTCCGCTTCAAACGAAGCGCGGGAAATTCGAATTTGCCATTCGAATTTCATTCCCAATTTCGAAAATATAGAGAGTGCGCCGAAAATAGCACCAGCACTTTACTGTTCTTTGCTACACAAGTGGAAAGAAATTAAAGAAAATAATTAAAACCGTTTCTGAGACAGTAATTGTTTAAAATATAAAAATTGCCTATGTTTGAAGCAAAACTACACGAAAATACTTATTTTTGTAAAAACTTAATACGATCTTATTTGAAGATATTTTTTATGAACATATTTCATTTAAAAAACAACTTCGTAATTGTAGCTGTGGGAAGACTCCGAAAAAGTTTCAATTTTTGCAATATTCAAAAATTCTGTGATTTAATGAAAATAAGAGTTACACCATACTCTTAAGCGCCCTTTACGCTATCCAAGGTCAAAATTTAATAAAAAAAAGTGTGCGTTATTTTCAAATAAATGTTTAAAAAATAAAAATTCCCTATTTTTTTACGCAAAATTACGCGAAAACTAAAACCTTTTCGTACATGACCTTATTTGACAAGATTTGTCTTTACAGAACATATTTCATTAAGAACAAAAATCTTTAATATTGTAGTTGTAGGAATATGCGGAAAATAATTAAACGTCTGCAATTTTTGAAAAAATCTAGGATTTCAACGAAATTGAGACCTGCTCCATTCTCTTAATAGTTTTTAACACTTTCCGACAACATTTATTACAAAATTGGACCCTTTTTGTTTTTGAAAATTTTGAAAATATCCCCGGGGCTTTATGTAAAGTATTACCCCAAATTAAAAGACGAGTTTCAAATTCAAGTGACTGCTACATAAGTCAAATCGATTGGGGAATAAAATTTGTTCGGCTGAACGGTTTAGTCGCTAGCGTTCTTCACAGACTGACAGACCTTTTGCCGTCAATGGATTTTTCGAATCAAGGACCCAGAAAACAGGAATTCTGACTACACAATTGTATATATGCTACATTAAATAGCATACACTTCCCACTTAGTTGTGGTAACTGAGTAATTCCTAGGCATTTTAGGATCCAATGGGTTCCCTAGACTTCCCCACAGGACTTTGAACGTTATTCCCAACGGAACGAACGACATGAGACGTTATCCCCAGGGTCTTGAGGGCACTGACTGTGAATCTTGGCATAGCCTCAGAGGTTCCAATCACCACGGTCAGGTTTCTGGCGTTGGGTACTCCATGAAGTTGGGTTGCCAGGGGAATGACTGGTTGGTATTTTACCACCT